TGTTTCTTTTATCATTGGAGTTGCTAATTTTATTCCAAACAGACTCTTAGGCCTAAAAGAAACTCAACTATCATTAGCTTAAACTCTGCCCAATATTATTTTTTTCATTTTCAACTTTTTTCATACTCTTTTACAAGCATCTTTTCTAAAAGATTATAGATGACACTTTAATCCAATCTGAATATCTCTCCTTAAATTGGAAATTTTAGTGTACTTATATTTATTAAAATTACTAGCATATTTTTTATTTATTTCCTCACTCATAAAATGGGGACAATAAATTCTAACTCACATACCTGTGAGAATTAAATGAATTAATGCCTCAGACACTTAGAAAAATGCCTGGAAGATGTGTTTTACACTTTAAATAATACTGCTATCTTTTTACCATCTTACTTTGTGCTGTTCATATTTCTTTTTCTGTGCCTTTTAACCTCCTTTTGACACAATCCTTAAGATTTATTACTTTTATACTATTTTTCTCTCTCTACTGGTTTAGAACTTATATATCCTACTTCTCTTCTTTTGGTTAGACTATAATTTTACCCTGAACATTCAACAAAATATTAAAGTAATCCTCTTCTCAAACACAACAAGGACCTTAGAGCTTTTCAACTTCGGTTAATCCTCTCCAGTTGTACATGATATTATATTATTTTTTTATATTTACTTCTACTTTCTTTACAAATTATTCATTAATATTATAATAACAATAATTATAAGATAATTGACATTATTTTATAGTAGTAAATATTTTAAATTAACACATAATCACCAATTCTTCAGTAACCATTCCTTCTTGTATATCATTTGCATTACAGTTTTCATCTTTTCTTTTGGAAGAACATCCTTTAGTTGTTTTACAATGAAAATCCTTTAGTGACAAACTCTTAGTTTTTACTAATCTAAAATTGGCTTAATTTAGTTGCTATTTGTAAGTGGTATTTTACAGGGTATAAAAATTAAGGTTGACAATTATTGATTCTTGATTTCTTGAAGACTTGATTTCACTATATTCTGTCTTAATATTGGAAAGCCTGCTATATTTCTAAAAGTATCTTCTCCTTGATAATCTTTTTCTTTGACTACTTTAAAGATTTCTTCTTAACTTTCTATTAATCAATTTCATTATCATGTGTCTAATCTCTACTTTTATCTATTTTTAAGTATTTAGGTTCAAATGAAGCTTTATTTTCATGTGTTTTCTAAGTGCAAACTTATTTTTATGTATTTTCCTTGGAAATTTTTTATGTTTCCTAAATGTAAGGATACATGTCTGCCAAGAGTTCAGGGGCATTACAGATATTTATATTCAATATTTTATTCTCCTCCATTGTCTATATTGTCTTCCTCTATAACTCCTAATTATATATATTGAACATTCACATCTACTTCTCATGTCTCTTAAAATATATTTTTTCATCTGTTTGTCTCTCTGTGGTGTTCTGTGATTCATATGTGTTTCCACTTCATAAATCATATCAAACCTATTGTCTACAGTTTTTATTTCAATTACTGTATTTTTTCATTTCTGCAAGTTTAATTTATTGTTTTCAAAATCTATGCAGTATTTTGATAGTGTCTCTAGTTTTTCCACATATTTCCATTTCCTTTCCTTAATCATTTTAATACACTTTTCTTTTTACTCTATATTTGATCATTCCAGCATTTAAAATTCTTAGAGTCTAATTCTATTACTTATTATTTGGGATTACTCTTAGCTGAAATTTCTATAGATTTTTCTTGTTGCATCATATTCTATGAAGTGTTTTCGGTGTGCATAATATGTTGCCTAGGTTGCAGGTATGTGTCTCCAAAGTGCTTTTGTATATATACACACTATGTGTGTGTGTGCACGCGTGCATGTGTGTGCATGTGTGCATGTGTATGCATGCTCTTGAGAGAGCTGAGCATTCTAGGCACTTTACTCAGCCTTAAAAAAATTACTTGTTGGCTTGAAAGGGAAGCAAATTGTGAGACAGTGAGGTATTTTACTGTCCTGCAACCACACTATTGGTGAAAACTCTCTTTTTTCCACCAGTTAGGTCAGCATTGATTGGAGATAAATAACAGTTTTAAAATGTTTCAATGTGTTTCATATTTGGAATTACAATTTATCAGGTGCTACTGGTGCTACTATTGGGTAGCTTTCTTTGTAAAACATATTGTTTACAGAAAGCCCCAGTTGCCCATCCTGAGATTGAATAGTTTATAAATTAAAAAAAAGTGACACATGCAAAAAAAAAAAAAAAAAAAAAAAAAAAACCTTTATAGGACAACTGAATTTTTTAATGCTCAAATGCAGTACCAAGGATGTTTATGTTAATGCTAGCCTCAAAATATAAACCACATAATTTGGCAAAATGCCCCCAAGCAGTAGTAGAATACACCTGTATGTATTATTATTGAAATTTCAACTTTGGGGGGTTGCTTTAAATTAATGCTTATCTCTTTAACTACAATTTAAACTTCATGAGAGTAAATATTGATTTTTTTTCTTTTTTATCTTCAATTCATAGTACTTAGCAGAGTCCTATGCATATTAGCAGTCATTAAGCAAATATTTGTTCAGTGAATACATAGAATAAATGAGTGAGTAAAATACATTGTTGTACTATGGATTTTTGTTTGAAAATGACAAAACTTATTATGAGCAGTCCTTTAATCCCAGGGAATTCAAACACAACTAATATGCATGTAGTAATATAAAAATTGAAAACCTTATGAAAAAATTTTTCCTAAAGAAATGTTTCATAAAGAAACATTGAAAAATATATGATTCCTGAGGAAATTTTTCCTGCAATTTGCTTTTAAGTCTCAATTTCAGCCCCTTCAGGAATGCCCACTAAATAATTTTTAGGGGAGTTTTACATATTAAAAGTTTATTATCTATTATCATTTCACTTTGTCCTTTCTGGTTAATCTTTCTGTTTAAATATTCTTAATGTCATTCCTTAAAGTAATTCCTCTTACACACCTATTACCACAGAGACATCACCACTGTGTTTTCAACATCAACTATTACTTTTGTGAGGTACTAACTCTAACATAAAAATATTACATGATAATATAGATGCATTTTTACATTTTGATGGAAATGTATTGTATTTAAGTAAATTTTTACAATTGCTCTTCAAAGAAAAAAACCTAACCCAGCTTTTGAATGGTAATGCAATTTTTTTTCTTTCTTGGATTTGTTGTAGAATTAAATGTTGTGGCTAGTATAATCATATATTATTCAATAGAAGAAGCACCATTGAATCTGTTTTTAAACACGTAATTTGCAAAATACACTGAAGTACTGAACACATGTGTAAAATAGTGTAAATCAGTTTAATAAGCTTTGTTGCTATTTGTTTTCAGATGCAAGTATGCTCCGAAAATTTGATAGCTGAGCAAAAATAAAATGTTACATAATTAATTTTCTAGATATAAGGGCAAAACAGACAGACAGAACAAAGTAAGATCAGAGGGACTGGTGAAGCCATTAGCTTGTATTCGTATAGAAATATAACAACAGAAGCAATTTCAATATTTACTCATATACCTCCAACCTAGCAATAAATAAAACCTATGTCCTGATGATAGGACCTTCTAAGACCCTCAATCTGCATATGGCTTAATAGGTTTCTTTCCCACTGCTTTTTACATAGATATTTTTCCATCTGCAAGTTTTTTGAAGTTAGAAGTTGATATTCATTGTATTAGTTTGCCGCTTAGAATATTGGAGGTTATATATAGTGAAATATGCTCAGAGCCCTATCGATTCCTTTCTATTAATCCTGAATAGATACTTGCAGTAGGGTGTCATGGCTGGAACTAGAGTCATGTGGTCAGGTGCAATATATTGGAGTGAGAGAAAGTTAGGCAGGTTGGAAACAGGACAGTGAAAAAAGTAGATGTCAGAAGAAAATTTGGAGATGACTACTATTTCACAAAATATCAGAGCCAGCCTTTCCACTACTTGTTTCCTAAGCTAATGACAAAGTTTCTCAGTTTTATAACGATGACATAAAAGACCAAAAGCTAAATATTCATTGGAAATCAATTACCATGCATTGAAGCATAAAAACTTTCAATTCATTCCACAGGCCACGTTTTTTCTCTTTTTGATAAGGTTTTTTTGTTTTGTTTTGTTTTGATTTTTGAGACAGGGTTTTGCTCTTGTTGCCCAGGCTTGAATGCAATGGTGTGATCTCTGCGCACTGCAACTTCCACCTCCTGGGTTCAAGAGATTATCCTGCCTCAGCCTCCCAAGTAGCTCGGATTACAGGCATGTGCCACCATGCCCAGCTAATTTTGTATTGTTAGAAGAGATGGGGTTTCTCCAGGTTGGTCAGGCTGTACTCAAACTGCTGACATCAGGTGAACTACCCACCTTGGCCTCCCAAAGTGCTGGGGTTAACATTGTGAGCCACTGCACCTGGCCAATAAATTCTTATTACACCTTTGTTGTTGTAAAATAGAAAGCATTACGCAATTCAAATTATATATATTTACGAGGCAATTATATTTTCTGCTTTCCTCCTTCCATGCCTGATTTAATGAGTGGCATCAAAGATTTTCCATAAGGCAAGTCTTATTCTTATTAGTAAATAGTAGTTTCCAAATGTTTGATAACTGTTTTAAGTAATTTATAATGACACACAGGTTTAATCTACATGTAATTGAATGTTTCTTTTAAAAAATAAATTTTAAACTTATAAAAATAAAATTAGTCATTTGATGCTTTTAGAGATTTTTCTATGAGAGAACAAAATCTGACATTTGAAGCTTACCACCAAATATACAGTAGTATTTGAAGCTTACCACCAAAAATACAGCAGTATTACAAACCAAATACAACAGACTTAAGATATTTGAAAACAAAGTTAAACAGAATTTGAATCTCATACCATGACATGTTACAATTAGTCCTAGAGAGCAAAAATCCAGCCAATATAGGAATTGGATACTTGAGGGCTTTGGAAACACAATTGCTTTTCATCCATTTCTTTTTAAAAGGTATTTTGTCCATTTATGTTAAGTCACAATCTCCTTAATAAACTACAGTTATTTCCAAAATTTACTTTTTTAAAAAAAATTAATAAAATCAAGTGAGAACAGGGTTGTTGTTGTTGTTGTTGTTCTGTATATAGTCAGAGAAGACAATATGGGAGTTAGAACTTTGGCACACATAAAGCACAACCAATATACTGATGTAGGGTTGGAAAATAATTTACAAAATTAATTTAATAAAATGCCTGGAAGAGTAACTAACAATTATTAACAAAACAACAATGAAGCTGTCTGTATTTTCATTTAACACCATATTTAAGGCAAATGTTGATTTAATATAAAAATAATATGTGGTAAACTGTTATCTGACATAAGATACAATAAAAATTAATGTTCACATTGAAGACCTACTTATGACAACATCTGTATATGCTTTCTAAATACCTACTTTCTCAATTGTGCTGAGCACAGCTCGCTGTGGCCTAATAAGATGTCAATCAGAATATCCAGAATATTTCTTAATATAGAGCAAGATATTTCCCCTACCACACCAGGCAAAATAATTTAATATATTTATTTTCACAAAAGGCTCATACTAAGTCCAAACTATAGTTTGTTTTTAAAATTTCTAGTACTAATTCTGATTCTTAAAGATAGCTAGCATCAATATTCTAATTTTCATGCTGTTCTTGAAAAGAACAAAATGCTAATCCTGAAAGTTTTACTGTAATTCACCCCTAAAATGTACTTTATGTGGGAAAGTTTCACCATAAAAAAAATCAACTATTTATATAGGTCAAGATTGATTCTACTTCATTTTGTAGAATAAGCAGAAACTTTTATATAAGACAAACTAGATTTCAACATCTAACTTTACACTGTGACTTCGTTACATAAATTATTTGAGCCTCACTTTCTGAACTACAAAATGAGAACATTATGACAGTCCTCAAAGTATAGCATGGAGTTTAAAAAGGGATAGTGCACATTCCTAGCACAGGGGTAGGAGTAGTATAAAACAGTATAGGTGTTAATGTTAATGCTTTTTTCTCCTCTTTTTCCCATTCCTGGTATATTTTGGCTAACTGGAGATTAGTGAGCAAATATGAAAGAAGTTACTGGAATAAATTGGCTCTACTAAAAGGCTCAATTACATTGCAGGCAATAGTTATACAGTTTCAAAGTAACATTCAATAAGATCAAAACATTGATTTTAAAAATGTATTTACATTTTACAATTCATATGCAAGAAAATTTTTAAGGGCAACAATTTAAGAAAAAAAAAACAGATAAGCTACATTTGTGTGTATAATTTTGTAACACTGAAAGAATATACCCAATTGTATTAAATGTCGTATGCTCATGGACAGATAACAGAAACAAAGCTGCTTCATACAGTAATCTATATTGACATCAAAATGGGGTTTCTCTAAAGGAAAGAGCCCTTCTTTAATGGTATTGATCATAATTAGAGGTTCCCATTATTTGTCCATGAAACCTAAAGAAGGTGCTATTTCAAATGGAATTCTTGTAGAACTTGGCACATAAATTTTAACTTTTCAACCACCTATTGTTTTTCACCACTTGTAGTTTCACTTGCTCAGACAATCACACATCTACATACATTAATTTTAAAACACATGCCTTTAAAGCAGAAAATTCATCCTAAAATTATGTTTTCTATGAAAGAAAAGCAGGTCATCATATTTATATCTAATACTTCAGTCATGGAAATGGATTTTCTCCACAGAGCTGTTAATTAACATACACTATTATGTTCAACATTTCAATGTTCCAATGAACACTATTATGTTCATGTGTAGGAGGATCTGTATGATCATGTGCAAGAATTCTAAGGCATTATATGTAGTTGTTCCACAGGACAAGTGCTGCCCTTGCAATGATATACTCTTGATATATTTAAGAAGTCTTCAGTCTTCAAATGCCATTAGCCATAGGGAGACATTCGTAGTCTACAGGTGGGTTGGCTCAAAAGCCAAAAACTTGATTTAAAAAAATGTTTATGGAATAGCACCATAAGAAGTCTTTCAGAAACAAACCTTTTTTTTTTTCCAGCATTGCATTTTGAAAAACTATATCCCAGGAAGAGAAAAATGAAAGCACTCTTACAGTTGTCACAAAGCCTACTTCTGCTTCATTTCATTTTTAAAAAATAGATTAACCATGACAACATCAACAATAATAGCTACAACAATGACAGATCGACAACAAAGGAAAGACAATAGCAGCAGTAGTAACTTGAGTAACGAACCAGCTAGACATCATTCAGAAGAATCATCTTCACATCTCTTCAGAGTTTTCTCATAAGGTTCATAAGACATCGTAGGCTTCCTGGATTTGGTGTGAAAAGGCAGCACTTCCAAAAAAAATGAACTGAATTTACCAATTCACTGGGCATTTTCCGAGACTTAAAGAACTGGTGTCTAGAATAGACACTATTGACATTTCAAACTCATCAAATGTAACTACACTGAAGTGATCTCAAGATCATTTGTGTTTCAAAGAGGTTAAGCTGGCCTGCAAGTGGAAATAATGAAGCAAAAATATACCAGTTTCTAAACACCAGACACACACATACACATGGAAAGTACAAATCACCCTCAAAAGGCTCCCATTTCCCAACACCTTATATGGATCTGGTTTACACTATATCCAAGATAAAAGTCAAAGCAATTATCATAAGACAACCAGAATAGTGTTTTCCAGTTTATGACCTGCAAAATCACTTTATATCCCCAAATCTTAACAAATTGCCAAAAAGAACTCTGCAGGGTCACAGCTCCTGAACTGAACTGTCTGAATTGTGAGGCATCTATTTCATGCCGTGAACAAAAGCTTGTAGAGTCTTCCTTGATGTACATGATGCCCTTTCATCAGTTTTATTAATACCATCAAGCATGGAGTTCAAATATCCTTGCAATTCTGATGAGGATTCACTGCAAACTTCTCTTTTAGTACAAAGATAATTTTGGTCTTACAGGGATTTTTTGTTCAAACTCTTTATATAAAACATTTATGCCAATATCTTCAGTTTTTAAAAAAAATATGTCTTCTTTCCATTATGCACATTCCTTTATGTCCTGACAGAGGTTTTGGTGTTATTTTTTAGTATGTGTGGTATCTGGATATCTTATGTTTTTGTATCTTATATGAAATCCCTTCTTGTTGATTGTGTCATCAGTGTGAAAATGAATTAAAACTGCATCTCCAATTGAATAAATCTCTTCTGGTGGCTGAAGAAAAAAACAAACAAAGAAGCAAGTAAACAAGCAATAGAACAAATCACTTTTTCTTCAGTGTAATGCGTGTTTGTGAATACTTTTCTTTGGAATATAATTTAATCTTCCCAACAACATTGGAGAGTAGGTGTAATCAACTTCTTCACTTTACAGAGGAGAAAATGGGATTCAGAGAAGAAAGTGACATGCTAGAGTTCACACAGCTAGTCGATGATGTCGTTAGGCTTTGAACACACATTACTGTTTCTGTGTTCTGGACACTTTTCTCCCTAGAATTTCAGTGTTATTTTCTAAACTTTTAAGCCAAGTTCTCTTGATTTACAAATCAATAATGTGAGCTTCAGAGAGTGTATCTCTTTACATTCTCTGTAAATGTGTTTCAGCAGCTGTTCTGAAGCAGAGCCACTTCCAGAATCCAAATCTTCCATTATTTCGTGTTTTAATAATCTAAGAACCAAGAAGCATTTTGTTTCATTTCAGTTGTCATTTGCACAGGAGTTCAACAGTATTACTTAAGCAATAGCTACTGGTAGACATTTGAAAAACTGAGACTAATATCTTCAGGACAAAATATGTATTGAGAAGTCTATAAATACATAAATATTAATGGAGTGAGTCCTGGGGGAAAAGCATTAAGAAAGCCTTAAGTTTTTCCTTTCCTTATTTCTCATGGTGATCTCTTCTGGCCTGTACCTGGCACTCTACACCTGCACAAGTGACACTCTGCAATGGAACAATTCCCTGTCGTGCTGCCTGTGTACACACACCAGCGGCTGACCCAGCCACTGCCACCAAATATATTTGTTGAAAAGATAACGTGAATTAGAATGGTGTGCATACTATTTTTTTCCTTTATGCTTTAATTCAGAAACATGACAGAATTGTAAATGGTGTGTGTGCAAATATATTGCTTTTAGATTAAGTATTTAAGTATTTATTGCATAATAAGAAGTTAGAACATGGAAAAGTGACAAGAAATTATACCTACTGATTTCATCTGTTTCATCAAATATTATTCAGCCAAAATCATTAGAAGTGGAGAAGTGTTAAGGATAGAGACATGTTATATTTTGTCAAGTCATTTATAATATGATGTCACTTTTTTTTTTGCAAAAACACTGCCAATTTGTAAATGTTACACGTATCAATCACAAATCAATAGGCATCTTTAATCATGTCTAGGGTAGCCTGTTGGTGGTATATTTACAACTTGTAAATGGTACACATATCAATCATGAATCAATAGGTATCTATAATCATGTCTAGGGTATCCTGTTGGTGGTATATTTACCCCAGATCCACAGAATCGACCAAGTCCCACAGCTGTTGAATCGAAACCATCAAAGAGCTCCACATAGTCATAGCCACAGTCTGCTTCTTCTTCCACTTCAAACGTCTGGAAGGATAATTCAAGTCGAGAGCCCCGTTCTGATACTAACAGCCATTCACAGTCAACCTGTCCTGGGTAGTTGTTATCACCAAACTGAGCATGTGAATACAGATCTCTGGGTTTTGATTCTGCTTTCAATCGGCCACCACACTCTGCCCAGGAAAGTAAAATAAAATGAGTAAGGTCAATGAGCTTTAACGGGTTCCAATTTAAATTTCAGTGTAGCCTAACCATTGTTTAACTTCTGTTTATACTTCCAGCATGAGGCATGGTTTCCAGAACTGGAGAGTCTGTCATGGGTACTGGCCCAGGCCCTAGACATGGATGACCTGGGTTGGAATGTCAGCCCCAACACCTGCTGGCTCTGATTATGGGTGAGTGATGTCTCTGAGCCATACTTTTCTCAAGGATATTACAGATGAAAAATAATGGTACCAATTTTAGTGAGATTTGAGAATTTAAAACATGACAATCACTTAGAATCTACTACCTAGCAACTCAACAATTTTTAAGATTGTTATACCTAACACTGTTTCTAGTCTCAAATAACTATTTTCATAAAGAGGCCAGAGTATTAACTCAAGTTCAGTCCAAACAATTTAAGAACCCCAAATCCAAAGAAGTAAAAAATAACTTGAAAATCGACAATATATATAAAACTCCTCTGCATGTGTTTGTGTTATATAGAACTTTCTGTATAGAATAGTAGTATTTTACTTAGATAGAAATATTTATCTAACTTGATAGGGTAAACCTATATGTATCATTAATTATAAGTATCTTTGCAATTCTGGAACCTATCCAATGGCAGTCTGTGTTTATTACAAGAAAAAATATTAAATGTTCCTCACGACTCCTTTAAAAAAGATAAATTAATAATCATAGGCTCTACCAGTTATTATTTTTGTCACTCAAATAAATAAATAAGTGTGCATAAAACCTTTTAGCTGGTATAATTTAGAATGTAAAAGGTTTCAAACACTCTTCTCAGGAACACTTTGTAGTCAGAGCCCCAAAACTTTTTTTTTTTTTTTGAGACAAAGCCTTGCTCTGTCACCCAGGCTGGAGTGCAGAGGCATGTTTTGGATCACTGGAACTTCTGTCCCCCAGATTCAAGCGATTCTCCTGCCTCACCCTCCCAAGTAACTGGCACTACAAGCATGCACTACCATACGTGGCTAATGTTTTGTAATTTTAGTAGAGAAGGATTTCACCATGTTGGCCAGGCTGGTCTTAAACTCCTGACCTCAAGTGATTCAGCTGCCTCAGCCTCCCAAAGTGTTGAGATTACAGGCGTGAGCCACTGCACCTGGCAAGAGCCCTAAAACTTTTTAATTACTAGAGATTAAATAAAGACAGAGAGAGCCTACAATGACCCACCAACCCATGCAAGCAAGAATGGTGGTTGAGAGGGAGATAAAAGAATGGGATATGAAAGTGTCAAGAGAGAGTAGAGTCTCTTTCTGTCCTTGTTTATTAAGGATTGAAAGAATTTCTGGGAAGGAGAAGTTTCACTGCTAAAATGAGGAACATCCCAGGGAAAATCCAATGTGGCAAGAGCTGGGGAAGTAAAACTACTGGATAGCCAAGTACAACTGTAATACTGTCATGGTAGTCTGTGACCAGATAGTTCTTAGTGAAGACGGTTAGACAGTTGAAATTCTAATTTGGACTTTTCAGATTTGTATATAGTTTACCCATATTGTGGTTTGGTGGTTTTTAAATAACAAAATATTTCTGAATTGCGAGTATGGGATCCCTTTCACAGATGTCTGAATTCAGGTGTGTCCAAGAAAATCTATGGGCATTGTCATAAACAACTGCAAATTCAGAGACATTTGTGTGACTAACATACGAAGGAACTTCCAGCTAGGGTTCCAATTATGAGAATAACTTCCCTACTGGGCTGTGTTACAGTGAATGTAAATATCCCTTCATCTCCCAAATGGTAGATGAGTAGCTCACAAAACCAACTGATAGAGGTGCAACTATTACAAATGTATTTGTGTGAGGAAATATTCCTGAAAATGGAACATCAATTAGCCTTGGGATTTTACCTCCCAAGTCCCACACACTGGAAGCCAGGCATCCCTTTCCCACTATGGTACTTTTGTTATCTCAGTAACTCCAATAATTAGTTCCCCTTTCTTGTGATGGAACTCCCAGTCAAATTGCCTGGGTGCAAATCTGGCTCTGTTATTTACCACAACTTCATTTCTAAAAAGAGAATCAAAAATAGTACTCACATCATAGGGTCCAGATGAAGGGTGTATAGGTTAATATATGAAAAATGCTTGAAAGATGCCTGGCATGGTAAAACCCATGTAAATGTGAGCTACCATTATTATTGCTATTATTTCCCTATGAGTACATGTAAATGCCATAATCTGTACTCTAGGATCCACTCAGGTATGAAATGAAAAATAAGGAAAATTGAACGACAATTTAAAGCACTATTAATCTGCTATTAGAAAGGAAAAATTCTATTTTTGAAAGCTAGTAAAATATTTTATGAAAAATATTTCTGAATTCAACGTATAAATATGTAAATCAGTGTAATGTCATTTACAGACTATTCAAAAAATTCTACCTATTCTCCAATTTTGAGAATTGACTGATATATTTTGTTTTCAGCTTTAAAGTAAAGCTTCAGCACTTGCATTACTTTCATTCCACAGCCCAGGAAGTGCTGATGGGAGGAACCAGAGGTCTGGTGCAGGCACTCTTTTGTGTGCCTGCCTCACAGATATAGCAAGGTCGCAACACAAAGACCAGGATCCACAAGAAGCAACCCTCTGCCAGCCACAGCTTGGAACAGAAATCAAGGAGAAACTGAAGAAATTAAACAGAACAGGAAAAATAACTTTATACAGGCTTTGTAAATCTGAAAATCACAGAAAGGTGTCTTTATCAGACTTCATTAAAAAATAGAAAAACGGCCTGCATTTAAAAGCAAATGTCTTAAATTGCATTTAAGGATAACAAAAAGTCCCCTCCATTTTTGCTTCCTTTATTGTGTATCTTTTGCAATGCACATCCTCATTCTTATAGATCACCACTCAAACTAATAAACCTGGAATTAATGTTCTAACCATCATACACACACACACACGCACGCACACACACACACACACACACCATGACAGAATTTAGTTCACAGGATGAATTTCTAAAGAATGAAATGAATATTTGAATACTATATGCAGAAGAGGTGTGATTCTGTTAAACTGCAATTACTGTTGCACCAACCTATAATATGTCCTGAAAGAAATTCCAGAATAAAATAGGTAGCTTTTTTTTTTCCAGAATCTTCCTGGTAATTCAAGCAGTGATCAATAGGTCATTTATTGGAATAGATCACTTTAAAAGATGGCTTTTAAATACAGTGAACACATTTTCATCAAAACTACCTATTCATTTACCAAGTCAGAAAAATATAAAACCAGTTATTTAGTATGTTGGAAATACCATTTTTACATCAACTAAAGAACAGCTGCCAGAGTTTCCTGTAGAATTCTAAGAAATGGAAAATGAAACTGAATAAGAAAGGTAACAAGAAAGGAAGAGAAGCCTAGGGTGAACTCCATGTTAATTTGGAAAGACAAGTTTGTTTATTGCCTGGTAAAGTATTAAACTCCAGGAGAAATCTTGTAATTTGACATATAAATGCTTTTAGTGAGCACTCTAATTTAATTGATTTAGATCAAAATAATTTCCTTTCCAAGGAGTTTGATAATATTTTATTTTTAAATGTCATTGACAAAGAGTATGACGATTTATATTACAAAAAAGAAGTCCCAAGAGAAAATGCAATGAATTTTAAAATTATTTTCTCTCCATGTTTCTCCTGTTTTTTCTGTTTGCAGCCATATCTTCTTATAAAATACACAGGACATTTTTTCCTACTAAAGATGTGTTTCCTTTAATTAACTAATTTAAGGCTGGAGTACTACCATTTGTTTCCTTATTAAAATAAATTTGGAATTAGAATTTGAACAAACTGTCAGAGGAAAAAAGAACTCTTTTCAATTAAGTCTATTTTCCATGGACTTTTTTTTTACCTGTAAAGAAAAGCAGCCATCATTATACATTACAACATTTCTAATCACCATGTTTCAAAATTCATAGCGTTAGAATTTTTTCTTTTGGATACAACTAAAATTGTATACAGAAATATAAATTTACCTAAGCAAATTAAACTATATACTTAAGAATACATCAAAAATAGCCATCCATATTCTAGAAGACAGTAAATAATGAATAAATGCTTTATATGTGTAACAAAAGCTGACAGATATGGTACTGGACTTGGCCATTTTGTTAGCAGAAATTAAAAGATAAACTGAACATCACAAGTTTAACTTCTCAGGCTGTAAGCTGTCAATAGGCAGGAATTCCTTCCCTTGTCTTAAAAATTCCCATGCATTTACATTGTCCAAAGCAGATGCAGAATATATATTTGATGAAAGAGTAGAATAAATGAACCTGTTAAAGAGACTTTGAGGAGAAATAAAAGCAGATGTAGATAAGAATATTTGAGCATGTATGACTACTAGACAGTAACAGAAATAAAAGCCCACCCAGAAAAATTCCAACATAGCTGATAAAACAGACAAATAATATCAAAAATTCTCAGAATAATAAAGGAACAGGAGTTGGGAAGCAGGGACTCTAATTTCAACTGTTACTAGCTTATTGTGCTGTTTCAGTTACCATTAAACATTTTAGCCTCAAATTTCTCATTTCTGAAATGACAGGGCAGGATTAAAGAATATCCAAAGCATGTTTCGCCAAAGAAATTGTGATTGGAGTTCCCCACGTGGGTATCTAAATGGTTGTGAATGAAACAGGGAAATAAAATGAGCCTGGTCACTTATATACTTTGAAGAGATTTGCTTAATATTTCTATAAAGAAGCATTCAATCTTCACCTAGTAATAATAGTTGTATACTCATTTTCTTCCTAATCCAAAAGTTTTACATGAGAAAATGATATTACAATAGGAAGTGCAGTAGCTTTGGAAACAATCAGAATTAATTAAAATCCAGGCTTTGACACTATTTTAGAAACTGCAAATTAATTGTCCAGATTTTCACTGTCTTGATCTGGAAAATGAGGATGATAATATCTATGTCATATAGTTCTTTTGAGG